GAAAAACTTTTGATTTCTCTAGAATAACCTCCGGCTGGAGCGTCTTCGCATTTTGATGTTGTCAGTTCACATCTGCTAATGTTTGATTTCTATCATTTTTCTCACAGAGTACTAAATATCCTCACGTTTCAGGAGAATCGCTAGGTATGTAAAAACATGTGGTAGTGTACTTTAAACAAAAGTAAAGCAAAGACAAGCGCTGTTCAACTGTTTAACCGAGAAAGTTGCTTTTCCATCAAATTTTTACAAGATGTTTCTCTGACTTTACGAGCAAAGACCAAAGGTAAATGGAAGAACGACTTTCTACCGAAGTTAATTCCTTAAGAACTGCTAAAAATCATCATTTTACCTTAGAATTGCTGTGAAAAATCTGAGTGATTGAGAGCACTCAATACTCTCTTGTTGTCTCGTTGAACGTGAATTCAATCATCACAACAAATCTATTTTTACAGATTGCTTTAAGAATCCTGTTGGTGTTGCTGATCCCAGAATAATCCCTGATAATCGGATAACAGCATCTTCCCAATACGACGGTCTGTACCAGGCGGCCCAGGGTCGACTTTATTATGGCACTGGTTGGTGTTCGCATAAGACTGACAGTAACAGTGAATGGCTTCAAGTTGACATTGGAGAAATAATTCAAGCATGTGGTGTTGCTATCCAAGGAAAAAGAGGAACACGTCGCCAAACGGTTCATGCTTTCAAACTGTCTTATTCCTTAGATGAATCAAACTGGGAAACCTACCTGGATGAAAGTGGTGAAGAAATGGTAAGAATTCCATTGTAATACATGAAAATAAGTTTTTGATTTCAATTCCGTCGTTGGGAATAATTGGAAAAATTTGTTTAAACTTATTTTTCGTTGCTTTCCTCAAAGGTACCTAGGCTTATCAAGGGAGATTACAGTATTACAAAATTTAATTCATTTATACAGGCCCATACACAAACACACACCCACACAAAAACAACACACAAATTGCAATAACAACGAATTAAACTTACATAGCTTGAGACATTGTTTAAACGATCAGGCAATGGACATCAAATAGCGATTAACATTAATTATAAAAACTTTGTACCTCGCGAGAAAGCACTGTTGACATTTTTTTTTTCTTTTTTTTCGCATTTGGAAACAATCTTTTATGGAATTATTTGATGCTTTCAAAAAGATAAAGTTCTACTTAATACATTTTTGTTTCAAAGGAATTTCAGGGTATAGGTTACGATTTTGCAGTCGACCTGCACAAGTTATCACTGCCAGTACATGCAAGATACTTTCGATTTTATCCAATCCAGCGTCATAGAAGGACCTGCCTTAGGGTTGAGATTTTCAAACAAAAATGTGAGTTAATAATGCAATAGTAATTAGAATATGATTACTAATCATTAAGCATTTAGTGTAGTACATTCTCAAATTAACAACAAGTTCATGCGTCAACGTACGTTCATCGATGTATGAAGCTCCCGGATATCGGGATATGACGCACGTGCTCGAGATTCGAGAGTAGTTGTTCTCGGCTGCGCTTCCAAGAACTCTTACGCATCTTTCGCACTCTCCAAATCGACTTTCCTTTAGCATATTTATATGTACTTCTCATTTTGAGCTCCTAAAGGTTTATATCAATCGTGATTAACGATTTAAGGCGACTGGCTCGCTACAAAGGGCTCTCCACAAATGGACACTAAATAGAAATTAAAGTCAAAATGTTAGTCTTGCAACTGATCATAACGACATTGACAGAACGGATAAGTTTTGAACCAAGTTATCCGTAAATCGGTATTACTCTTGACAAAAGAAGATGCCTCGTCCTCTTTTTTTATCAATGAATTCATCTCATAAGTAACTTTTATCAGTCAGCTTAATAGGCAAAGGGGTTTGACTGTATCAGGATTTGGATAAAGGTTGAATAATGCTTCTTTATTTGCAGTTCCAGGATGTCAGTACATCGACTTAGGAATAGGCAATGGATACACCTTGGATAGAGATTTCAGTTCGTCCTCTGTACTAAATGCAAACACACCTGCTAAGAATGGTCGATTGAACTACAAAGGAGGATCATCATGGTGTGCCGCAACAAATGATAGTCAGCCATATCTACAGGTTGACTTTGAAAAGCTTTATATCGTCTGTGCTGTTTCAACTCAGGGGAACTCCCAAGGGGACGAGTGGGTAAGGAAGTACACACTTCAGTCATCTAGGGATGGAACAACTTGGACAGACTATCAAGAGGCGGGAACATTGAAGGTTTGTCACCTCCGGAAACCTAATAAATAATAAAACAGTATTATTCCTGGTTAAAAAATTTACTTTCATCATTAGGAGGGGTTGTTTAAGTTATCCAAGCGCATGATATAAGTACTTGAAAAACCTGGTTAAACACACTTAGAGTCAAAGGGAAAAACACAAACAAGGCAAACCAAGGTATTTTACATAGACTTGAGAAAAAGTAACGGCGAGAAACTTCAGAATTTATTCGTATTAGTATTTGTGATGAGAGGCCTGAATTTGAGGTAAGGAAAAACGATCTTAACTGCGATTCTGTCATCCCAACTGTCACATTTCATTGACGTCGAAAGCTTGCTTAAGTTCTTGGATGCGTTGCATCTTTTTAACTGGGAAGAAAACTGAAATATGGTCTAATTTGCGTTGTGAAAAAACAAACACAAAAAAGCCCTAACTTGGCAGAGAAAGAAGTTTTTTCGTCTTGTCACGAGTGTGGGACAAAAAAAACCAATCTGAGTAAATACATGACACGCGTCTTGTATACCGCTAAGATCAGCAATGTCTATAGCGTCATGTTTCATAAATAGAAGAAGAAAGATGGAAAGTTTTGAAGTCGGTAATGAATAGAGAAAGATGTTACTTCGTCTTGTCACGAGCGTGGGTCATAGAAAACACTGTGAGTTCCCATGGGGAATCGAACTTCAGATCTTCGCATTCCGCAATCCGATGCTCTACCATTGAGCCACAGAGACTCTATGGTGAGTATGCGTCCTACATACTGCTAAGATCAGCAACGTCTAGAACGTCATGTTTTATAAATAGAATAAGAAAGATGATAACCTTTGCTTGGATGAGGGAAACTTTTCAAGAGTTAGGTAAAGGTAGAGCGTCATAATTTCTTTATTTCCCTCTGGTGGTCTGCTCACAATGCGCAAATAACGTTTGATATTTTATATTTCTTGCATCTACAGGTATTCTCAGGAAATTTCAACCGAAATAAAACGGTAAAACAAATTTTGTGCATTGAGCTTGTTGCTAAGCGATTACGTTTCATTCCTAAAGAGCACTACGGAAACTGCTGTATGAGGGTTGAAATATATGGAATACCACTGACAGCAGGTAAAAAGCAACATAAGTTTATAATGATAAAAGGGCTTCCTTGCGACAGTGCTTTTAGTAAAAGCCGCACTAGTAAATAAAAAAGACCGGTTCTAAGACTTTTTTTGAAAAAAAAATCAGAAGTAATAATACAAGATCACTGTATAGCTTAGAATTTAAAGATCGGTAACCTCGTTCCGTTGACTGAGGAACTAACTTAACCATTCATTTTTTATAGTACAGGCATTGAAAGACCATTTGGACTGAATTTACCCATAATTATCGAGTTTACCTATACACTTTATATTGTTTGAAAATGTCTACAAGACCTAACAATAATACCAGCTCGAACCCGCTTGAGCAAGACGATGCCGGTGTTAATATCCCAAATAAACATCAGACAGCGCGGGAAAATCTTCAAATAAACAACCTATCGGTTTTTTTTTTTTGATAACTAGAGACAATACATTACAATGAAGGGGAACGAAAAGTTAGCAAATACTGCAAATCCATTTTTCAGTCTTGCGCTTCTTTCGATACTCTGAGATACTTAATAATGCAGCTGTTTGTATTTTCAGATAACCTTGCCTTAGGAAAGCCAGCCCGTCAGTCAAGTATTTATGCGGTTGCTATGGATGTTAATTATCCGAGAAGAGCAGTGGACGGAGTAAAGAATACAAATAGATACTATTGTGCAAGCACAGGAGCATCATATCCTGATCCGTATTGGAGAGTTGACCTTGAACAAGTGCTGCCTGTTTCAGAGGTTTTCATACTCAATAGTGGAGACTGCTGTGGGGAACATTTCAATGGTACCGAGATAAGAGTAGGTAGGTACTCAAAATAGGGATAGCCCAGTTTCCCACGTTCCACGGATTATAGAGATTAGCGCGCAGACCTCTACTTCGGTTGGCGAAAGGTATACAGTCTATGTGTTCGTCCATGTGGTCTCAGCGTAGAGTGATTTTTCAAAGAAGTTGATTTCCGTATTACCTTGTACTATTACTTAAAGGAAATGAAACTAGAGATAGAGGAGGAACCAACGATCTTTGCACCAGTGATCTACGAGTCCCCCAAGGAAAGGGAAAGTTTTTTCGATGTAATATGACGCTGTATGGCAGATATTTATTTATCAGGATACCTGGATCGTCGAAAGTGTTGGTCCTATGCGAAGTTGAAGTTTTCTCCGCAGTTAGATCAAGTAAGAAAGTTTATATTTCACGTTGCAGAATATGAATCATACCTCTCATTTCTTTGTCATAAAACTCCTGATCATGTAATCGTATTTTTTAGGAAGACAGTCACAGTTGAAAACCCAATACTGAGAAACGTCGGAATGAGTTTGTCTATTAGCCCGTTCTAAGTCCTGGTCCGTTAGGGTTAGGGTTGCGTCAGTTTTTCCGTAATGTAGTTGACTGTTAGACTCAAATGGCGTAAGACGGTCGTGATTGGTTGTTTTTCGATCCGTTGGTAAGTTAGGTCATTCGGATCATGTGTACTATAGGTGGACTCGGTCGACATATCGGGCGACAGTCGACCGATATATCGGTCGACTATCGGTCCGGACTATCGGTCGACAATCGACCGACTATCGGTTGATAGTCGACCGATGTATCGGCCGACAGTCGACCGATAAATGTGTCGACCGATTTAGTCTTAAACCATCGATACTCGACCGATACATGACCGATACTTGACCGATACATGACCGATACTTGACCGATACATGACCGATACTTGACCGATACATGACCGATACTTGACCGATACATGACCGATACTTGACCGATACATGACCGATACTTGACCGATACATGACCGATACTTGACCGATACATGACCGATACTTGACCGATACATGACCGATACTTGACCGATACATGACCGATACTTGACCGATACTTGACCGATACATGACCGATACTTGACCGATACATGACCGATACTTCACCGGTACTTCACCGATACTTGACCGACACTTCACCGATACTTGACCGACACTTCACCGATACTTCACTGATACTTGGCCGATAATTCATTGGCCCCCCCGGGGGGAAGGGTTTATTCCACGATAAAAGATATAAAACTCTAATAAGTAATATGATTACCTCATAATTTACATGTAAATTGCGTGTCTGGAATCCAGTTTTAAATTTCTCTTGTGCCGGCCATAGCGCGTATCGTCTCCGGCAGCGAATTCCAAGTCCTTACAGCGGCGAAGTAACGAAGAGACCTTAGACCATGTTTTGTACATCTTACTTTAGGTATCAAAGCATATTTGTGCCCCTTTGATTACGATGCGTGTTCTTTACTTGAAATGAATTATCTGTAGTGGTGGGTATCTTCTTTTGAAAACATCCGTCTATCGTAATTAACATATCTTGGGTGAGACGACCCTTTAATGGGTTTTGAAGGGTCTTTGCTATAAATACGTGTCATACCTAAGTGCACGGTCCTTTACCCTCTCTAGTTTTTCAAGTATATTCAACCTATTGACTTTTCCTGTTACTTTTCCGGAGATAGATGTGGTGTGAGAATTAAGGATCTGTGTTCACTTACAGTAGATCAAAATTATGAGATATACAACGCACGATGTTTATTACGTTGGAGACTTACTACACCCTTTTCAAAGGTTAGGTTATATTTGGTTTTATTATCTGTGCTTTGGAAGCTTATTTCATTGGACAATGAATGGCATTTTAACTTTTTTCCGCCGCCGCTGTCATTATTCTTTAAAAAAAAGTGTCACCGTCTGTCGATAAAGAGCACACAATTCGACTATTTAAAGGGTTAAAAACCTCCAGTTTGAGACATGACGGCAAACGGGACGTCGGTAGAGTGAACTCGCAATACTTCCAGCCGCACTCATAAAGTTTTGATTTCTATTTCATTCTATATCAAGCGCGTGTTTTTAGTAAACGTCAAAACAATTCTAACACTGTTTGTTCCCATTGGACCGCGAGTAAGGAAATTTCATTTTCCGATGATGTAGTCTTCAACGCTGGTGTACTAAATGGTGGTGACGGTTGAAAATGTAGATCGTATTAGGTTCCGTAGCTTTGTAAATCCACTTTATAGGGATACAACTGTTTCGAGATATTTGTCCGACAAAATGGAGCAAAACAATGGCTGTGTGCAAGTGTTTTAAAAAACATTGGTTAATTTCCTTTCTGACCTCCGTAATACAAGATGTATACTGGTAACTACAGTTTGTCATCAAAAAAAAAATTACATTCCAAAACTCAAATGGGAAATGGTTTTTGATCGCATG